TCGAGCAATAACGCTCATTTCAATACCAGTAATTAGAGAAACAATAGCCAATAAAGATTTTGTAAAATTGAAACAACTAAACAATAGTTTAGGTATCAATTTATTTTTAATTGGTTGTTTTTTATTTACTCTTTTAGTGAGTAATATAGATGGCATATTTTCATTACTTCCATCACAATATTCTTTGGCAAAAAATGTACTTATTATTATTGCATTGGGTCGATTACTTGACATGGCATTTGGATTAAATTCTGAAATTATTTCATTCTCAAATAATTATAAATTTATTGTACGATTATCTGGTTTGATGTTTTTGATGACTATCGTTTTAAACATTATTTTAATTCCAATTTTAGGCATGAATGGTGCTGCTTTGGCTGTATCAATTTCATTGATAGTTTTCAACCTTTTAAAGACTTTTATCATTTATAAAAAATACCATTTCCATTGTTTTAGTAAACACTATATCACCTTACTATTAATTTCAATTTTTGTAATTGGAGTTTTATATTTTATTCCATTTTTACAATTTGTTGCTCATCACAAATTTTTAAATTCATTAATGAATATTGCATTCAAATCTTCTATTGGAATTATATTTTTTTTAATCCCAACTTATTTATTCAAAATTTCTAATGATTTCAATGATTTTTTAAAATTAGTCCTTTCAGGAAAAATTTTAAAAGGTGGACATAAAATGGAGAATTTATAGTCAGATTTTATTTATGCAAACTACCTAAATAAATAAATGCAATAATTGGAAATAAAGCATTAATAATTAGTAAAAAAATATTTCGGATTGCATTATTGGCGATTTCTTTCATTGTATGGACGCTATTGTTTTCATATCTATGAAAAAAGTATTTTATGAAAATAACAAATAATCCAAACCACATAAAAGGGAAGAAAAATAGAGCTTCAGAATTAAATTGATTTAGATAAATTAATTTTAGTAGTCCAAGTCCTAGTATGTAGTTTATAACAGTTATTAACAAAAATTTTCTGTCCATTATCTCAGTTAAATCAATTCCTCTATTTTCTACTGAATATACTCCCTCAACTCTTCTTCAAAATACATTAATGCATTTTTAATTGGTAAAGGCAAACCTCCTCCTAAAGCACATAGAGAGCCAATTTCCATGGTTTCTAACAAATCTGTTAAAAGTGTTTTATCAATTTTATAATCTGTTTGTAACGCTTTATCAAATAATTCTTTTCCTCTTGTGCTACCTAATCTACAAGGAAAACATTTGCCACAACTCTCATGCGCAGTAAACTGAAATAAATGTTTGATATATTCAATAATAGGGTAGGTCTCAGGTAAACAAACAAATGAACCATGACCTAATAAAAAACCATGACTAGCGAATGATTCAAAATCAATAGTCAGTTTTGACAACATCGAAAAAGGCACCAATCCACCTAATGGACCACCTATGTGGATCGCTTTGATAGGCTGTTTAAATCCACCACCCAATTCATTGATTACTACGCTCATCGGTGTACCCATATCCACTTCATAAATACCAGGCTTGTTAAAGTAACTATCTAAAGAGAGTAATTTTGTACCTGTAGATCTACCTACTCCAATGTCTGCAAAAGATTGTCCACCATGCTGCATGACAAATGGAATATTCGCTAAGGTTTCTACATTATTCACCACCGTAGGTTTGTTAAATAAACCTTGTTGGGTAGGGAATGGAGGTCTTACTCTTACTTCAGGTCTTTGTCCTTCTATGGATGATAATAGGGCTGTTTCTTCTCCACAAATATAAGCGCCTTGTGCTTTGATGATTTTGAATTTGAAACTAAAGTCGCTTCCAAATATTTGGTCACCTATCATTCTATTTTGTTCCAGAGATTGGATTGCATCAGAGACAATATTAATAGATTCGGGATATTCTGCTCTTATATACAATACGCCCCAACTCGCACCCGTAATATAACCTGCAATGATCATTCCTGTCAACAATGGAAGTGGTCGTTGCTCCATGATATACCTATCTGAATATGCGCCAGGGTCACCTTCGTCCGCATTACAAACTATAAATTTGACATCAGAAGCTGTATCTCTGCACGATGTTAGTTTGAACGATATTGGAAAGCCTGCTCCTCCACGACCACGAAGCCCAGATATTTTCAGTTGATCTATTAATTCATCTGAAGAGTGCTGAAGACAGGTTTTTAGAATGTTTTGACAAAGATCAATATTAAGAATTGGGTTAGTGAGAATAGGCGTGCCATAATGATCGACGTTGTAATGATCAGTTATTTTTTCTTGGTGGGAAATGATGTTCGGTAATTCATTTACGGCATCTCCAGAATAATTTTGGCCATTGTAATGGAAGGCACTATTTTCGTGACAGCGACCAAGACAACACATTTCGCCGATCTCTTCTTTAGAAAATTGCGTATTAATTTTGTCAAAAACTTTTGCTTGTGTTCCTGCTGTCATACATGAGGTACCATTACAAACAAATATCTTTTTGCCTTGATTTTCTTTTTTTAGGAAGTCATAGAAAGAGACGGTGCCATAAATATTTGCAGCACCAAAAAGGAATTCGTCTTTTAGACGTTGCATTTCAGAGAGATCAGGTGTGCCAGTTTCTTTGGCGGCATTCCCTAATCGGTCAAAAAGATTATTTTCAAGACCTTTGCGACCGGATAAATGGCTCAAATTCTTTGACATAAGATGTGGCTTTAGATATTTAAAAATGCTTATCTCAATTAAACCAACTTCCTTTCTAAGTGTAAAAAAGAAAATTATGGTCTAATTAAAATTGACATCTTAAGACTTATAATAAACAAAGCACAAATTAATCCATTTTTGGAAATGGACAAATGAATCTTGAAGAAATATCTACAACCTAAACCAAATGTTAGAACGAATTAATGATCGTGACAAATTCATCTGCATTTAGAGATGCACCACCTACCAATCCACCATCTACGTCTTCCTGTCCGAAAAGTTCTTTGGCATTGTTGCCTTTTACAGATCCACCATAAAGTATGCTTGTGCTATCTGCCACTCTTTTGCCATATTTTTTCTGAAGCATAGCTCTGATAGCTGCATGCATCTCTTGTGCTTGTGCCGGTGATGCTGTTTCACCCGTGCCGATCGCCCATATTGGTTCGTAAGCGATCACTATATTTTTCATCTCTTTCGCGTCAAGCTGAAATAATGATTCTTCTAGTTGAACCTTCACATGTGCGACATGTGTGCCAGCTTTTCTGATGTCAAGCGCTTCACCACAACAAAAGATAACTTTCAGACCTGCGTCTAGTGCTGCTCTAAGTTTTAATGCCAAGATGGCATTGTCTTCATGGTTATATTCACGTCTTTCTGAGTGACCCAATACGACATAAGGCACCTTCATAGCAGCAAGCATCGATGGAGAAATCTCACCTGTATATGCGCCTGAATTTTTGTGATGACAAGTCTGAGCAGCTAATAACACCTTTGACTTAGAAGATATCTTCTTTTGCAACGGAAAGATATGTGTAAAAGGCACTGCAAGAATGGTTAATACATTTGCATCTCTTTCTGCGGTGGCGATGTGCTGAGCTAGTGCGATACCATCATTTATGGTGGTATTCATCTTCCAGTTTCCAGCGGCTATTTGTTTTCTACTCATGACTATTTGACTCTATTTTTTTTTAAGAAGGGCAAAACTAATTATTTTTTGTAATAATCCAAG